CACGGGGGGCTCCTGCAGGGTTCCTGTGTGGAGCTGCAAGTCCAGGGCTGCTAAACTGCTTTTTCAAAGAAAAGTCGGAAATTTATCTCAATGTTGGCAACTCTATGCACGTGTGGCTCTGAACAACTATGCACGTGTGTGCGTGTGCATGTGTGAATGTGCATATGCACATGCCTGTGTGAAGTAGCCTCCCACGACCCCATTTGTGGGGATGGACGGGATCACACTGAGTTTGGAAACCACTCCTGTCACAGTGTGGATGGAGCAAGACCAGCTCCACCATCAGGTGAGAGGAAAGAAGGAGATGGACTGGGGGCATGCTTGGGGGGAGGGGGGTGAACTGCAGGAGGGGGAGGGGGTCCAGGGTGTGGAACCGCAGGAGGGGGAGGGGGTCGAGGGGATGGGATGGCGGGGGGGGGGGGGCTGTGGGCCGGTGGGGCGGGGGGGGAGGGGGTCCATGTTCTGGAATGCAGGAGGGGGAGGGGGTCCAGGGTGTGGAATGCGGGAGGGGAAGGGGGTCCAGGTTTAGAACCACAGGAGTGGAGGGGCCAAGGGGTTCAGGGACTGGAGCCTGGGGTATCTGTGCCGCTGGACGGGCTCTGTAATCCCTGTCCCAGTTTGCTTAGTAATGGACTCAGAGACAGCGCACAAAGAACAGGATTAGATGTAAGAGAAATCAGATTGTTGCCACTTTTCTTTGTTTTTATGGAGTAATTTCCATCAGCATAAGTATGTCATGAGTTCTCTCATCTTAAAAGAGAACCTGGTCCTCATCCGTCTCTCCAGCTGCCTGGTCCGTTTCTTTGCTCCCCTAGTCTCCGAGTCTGCTCCACCAGTTTTTGTTAATTTTACTCCAGTCAACATTTCGCCCCCAACCCTCCACCAAGACTGTTCTTGCCAGGGCCCCAGCTGTCTGTTGTCCTGAGACTCGCGCTGAGTTCCTGGCTTTCATGCTATCTCCCCGCGAGCCGACCATATGTGCAGGGCTGCAGCAGGGACACCTGGGAGGGAGGGGACCCTAAGCAGCCACAGGCCCCACGCGGGTGGTCACCCCAGCCGGGACACCTGGGGTCTCCCCCCCTTGCCCCCACCCCACCCCTGGGGGCCTCACCCCCCAAATGCCCATGACTCCCAAACCTACAGGTTGCTGGGACCGAGCTCCGATCCCTGGCTCACATGTGGCCCTGGCCTCTCCCCTGCTCCTTCCCTTCTCGGGTGACCGCTCCCCACAAACCCTGGGGCCATCTGCACTGCTGCCTCCTAGTGGGGACACCATGCCCTGCCCGGAGACTGCAGCCCCTCCCACAACGCAACTTTGCCCCATTTCACTGGGCAAAGGGGGGGCCCTGAAGGCCGCGGCCGGGGTACCCGCCACTCCCCCCATGACCGGGCCCCTCACCTCCCTTCTCTCTCGTTATTCCCTTTCCAAACTCCACACCCCTGTGCATAACCTACTTCATTTCCTGAGAACGTAAGTAGCAGGACTTTATTTTGTTCACTGTTGGGTCCAAGTGTGTCCAGAACCTGGACATTTCTCGCGGACAGTGACGGGGTGACCGGCCCAGGGTGCCTGTCTCTGACTTCCTCTCCGCTGTGCGCAGGTCAGAGATGGCACCCTGGGCAAGGCCGGGCGACGGTGCTGAGTGAGCCGCACGAGGAACGGCCAGCGTCCTAGGGATCTGGATGGCGAGACCCGGCCCTCAGGCCAGGCGAGAGCTCCCAGGGTCGCCGGCTGAGCGGCCACCACACTGCTGGACACCGGCTGACTGCTGCCCGCCCAATCCCAGCACTGTCCCACGTTCCCTTGACTGAGGTTTTCGGAAGACCCCTGAGGCGCTTCCCACGTACGTGCGGGGGATGCACGCAGTCAAAGCCCGCCATGGTGCGATGCCGGGTTTCAACCATAACTACCAGTCAGCGCCGGGGCTGACCTCGGGCCATTTGCATTAACGATGAGGACGACTGACGCAGCACACGGTACATTATTTTCAAAGATGAAACTGAAGCTGGGTTTAAAAACTGTGACTTATTGTGAAGCAGCCGGTGTGCGAGTTCTGCCATGGGAAAGCCCACGCCAGGCAGGCTGTTGTGCTACCCTTCCACCGGGAGGCCGCGCCGGCCCGGCAGCCCCAGCCTGCCCAGTGAGGGGCTCTGGCCTGCCTTCTGGAAGGGGCCCCGCCCATCTCCTGACCCCGGGGGTCAGGACGGAGATCTGCGCAAGGGAGGCGGTGCGGGCCCCCCGGGCCCCCCGGGAGAGCCGAGCCATGACCCCCCTTGTGTGCCACGTTCTCCCCTGGCACCGGGCTGGGCACGGCTCCAGCCCCGCGATTTTGGTGAGCGTCCGTGGTGCGGGAATGCAGCGGCCCCATGCAGGGAGACCGCCCGTTCCTTTACTTTATAGCTCCACAGGAACAGTTCCCTCTTTCGGAGCTGCCGGCCTCAACGGCAGTGCTCACGGTCAGGACTGACAGCCCGTCGAGGAGGTGGCGGCGGGAGCTCAGGGCGAGGCCGCGGGTGCCGCCTCATGCTTGCTCGGCCATGCCGCCTGCCCACGGCCACACACCCAGCACCCAGTTCCTCTTCTTCTGTGGGCCCCTCGTGCCCTTGGGGGCCCACAGCTGCCTTCTCAGATCATGGACACGTGGGGTTAGGCGGGCCCAGATCTGGCTCTCCGGCACTCGCGCCTGCGCCCTCCTCCGGCAAGAAGGGAGACGTGAGTAAACCACAGCTGACCAGCCGCTGCACACCCTTGTCTCCGGAAATGGAGCCCAGGGCTCCAGGCCTCAGATACGCAAAGCGGCCTCTCAGCCAGCACCGCGGAGCGACAGACCCAACCGCACTTCCTTCCCTCTGCCTGCGCGTGAGCCACGCACGTGCGCCCGGAGACCAGGGTCCCACACAGCACTCGTTCTGCTGGGGACAGAAGAGAAGCTGGAAGTTTGCTGTCCCAAACAAGGGGGAGCACGGGGGGCCTCCGAGTCAGGCAGCTGGCCCTGTGATTGACTTCGTTCCTCCACACAGGCAGTCTATGAGTCCGCACACATTTACCACGTGCCTGAGACCTAGGGCAGACGTGGACCAAAACCTCGCAGTCAGCACGACCATTTCACAAAAGATCCGGGAAGCCTGGCGGGTGAGGGGCCCTGAGGGTGGAGCGTCTGCTTCTTTCTCTAGGCGGGTGTGATGGAGGGCCTCCCTGAGGAGGTGGCCTGAAGCATGCAAAGGAGCCATCTGAAGTGGTCCACCGAGGGGCAGCAAGCACAAAGGCCCTGAGGCCAGAAGATCTGCTGACTAGTGAGGGGGGGGACCCCCGGGCAAGGAGACGTACAAGCCTGGAAGGCCCGAGAGTGTGTTGGGGGTCCCGCGGCCCCCTCCCAGCATCGTGCCTGCTGTGGCCTGGAGCAAGGACTCACCTTCGACATCAGACCGGGGTCACTGGCTGTTGACATTTCCAGATATAACATGATTCTTTGCCTTTTAAAACATCTAGGGGTGCCCGGAAACACAGGGCCCCGTGACCCCCAGCTCTGCACCGAGCCAGCTCTGCAGCCAGGCCGCCTTGGCCCGCTCCGGCCACCATCTCCCGGACTCAGGACGGCCCCCACCCAGAAGACCAGGGACTGCACGGGCGTCCACGGTCAGCAGCCCACCCCAGCCGTCCTCGTTTTCTCTCCAAATCCCTTGAACTTGTCCTTCCCTAAAACCACTGCGAGTTCAGTCATTTCACACTCAAGGGGCTGCCCTGTCCCTCGTGCCTGCCGCGCTGCACATGGGGGGCCGGAGTTACCGTCCTGGGCTCCCCCATGTCTTCGAATCCCGGCGTCCCTTCCCCAAGGACCCTCCCCAGTGCCTCTCCAGGGGGAGCCCGCGTCTTCCAGCCACCTCACAGCCGTGAGCTTGCACTCCTGCCCGGTTGCCTCGGGGGCTGAGAAGGCCTGAGACCGCCATCCTGTCTCTGATCCCGGGGCCCCGACAATGAACGGAGATGCTCTGAGGTATCACAGCCCCACCAGGAAGCCCCTCAAGGGCACACGGCCGGCCCAGGGGCCCTAAGGAAGCTGCCGGGTTCCCAGGCCACCCGCCCAGAGCCCGGTGCTCGGAAAGAAAGGACGGCAGACCCCGTGTGACCCAGGCCGTGGCCCCACCTTTCTCCTGCCAGGAGACTACTCGGCACCCACGTCCCTGAGGAGGGCTCCCCCCCACCAGGTCGCTAGAAGAATCTAGGACTCCCCAGCACTGATCGGTGATGGGCTGTCCCTGGTCGGCAGTTTTCATACGACAGGAACCAGCCGATCGAATTTGCTCTTTGGGTCTGTTTTCTAGATTAGACTAATTCACGAAGCTTAATTTACAGAAATTCAGAAACCTGTCCTTACGGATGCTGAGGAATGAGGGTGGCGTCTCTGGGGACCCGGGGGACTGAGCTCCTATGCTGCAGCTGACCTCCTCCTTGCCCCGATGTCACCGGAGCAACGAGGTCACCCGCAAGGCTCAATGGCCATGGTGGTCGCTCATCAGGGTGTGAGGTCCACATCCTCACCACTTCTCCTGGTGGAGTGGGCACCCCAGGTGGTGTGGCGTCAGCCCCAGTGCAGCTGGGGAGCTACGGAAGAAGTTTCCCTGCTTCTGGAAGAGGGGCTCTCGCTCTGCTCATAATAAAACAGAACCACAGCTGGGGGAGTCGCCTCTGGGGTCAGTTCTACCCCCGTGAGGGTGTGAGGGGGACGACGGGTCAGGCCAAGCCCCAGAGGGTCTCAGCCACTCTGCGCCGTGGCCTCCTTCCCGTGGCACAAAAGCCCCTGCCACTCACGGTGGCCCAGTCTGTCTAACGGATCGAGGGAGGGTCCCAGGCTCCATCGGACCCCAGGCGCTGGGGCTGGAGCTGACACTTCCCAAGGGCAGGGGCAGGACGCGGGCTCTGGACCCCGCTGGCTCTGCGGGGCCATGAGCCCCTCAGCACCACCTTCTTCTCTGACATTCCGGGGCTCAGCGACACGTACCTGGGGATGCTGGTGAGGTAGGTCATGACATTCTGGAACTCCTTGTCGGGGACGTCGCCGAAGGCCGGGTAGTCCGGGAAGGTGATGACGGGGCTGCCGTCCTGCCCGCGCCCGCCTGGGGAGAGAGTGAGGCAGCGCTTAGCGCGGGTGCCTTCCCCAAGCACCAGCGTCTGCTTAGGATTGATGGCGTTTTGTCAAGGCTGTGCTTGCTTATTAGGAGAGACGTGTGTGCTTTCCAAGGAAGCCCTTGGTGTGAACAAGAGTGACACGCATTCCAACAACCCCCCATTATTCTGCCGCCACGGGGCAGCCGCCAGAATTCGCGGCCCGTTTCCTCCGGAATGGTCCCTGTGCCTCTTTCCACACGACTGAGCTGCTGCTTGTCCTGCTTTGCTCGTTAACGCCGAGAAGTATGGCTCTCTGCGCCGGGAGCTCCTTTAAACCCCTCACAGAGCCCAGCCTCCTTCCCTATAGCCGACCTCCTAGCTTCAGACAGTTGGGATCTGAAGGGGGCCATCCCTTTGGCAGCATGAGGGGGGAGGGCGCCAGGCGGGCGGGAGGACCTGAGAGGCTTTGCTGGTCGGGTATGTGGCTCGGGACCTGGGAAGAGGTGCTTGGAGAGGAGGCTGAGTTTGGTCTGGGGCTTACGTGGTCTGAACTGTCCCGCAAACAATCCGGGGGGAGGGGCTGAGAGCACACGCAGAAGTTGCTGGGGCCCAGGCCCCGGGTCGGCCTGCTCGCCGCTGCCGGGGTGGCTGGAGACAAGCCCCCCTGAGGGATGGGCCCATCTCTGCTGCCCCGGCCCCCTGGCCTGGCCTGTTTGATCCAGCCTAAGTCATGAGGTGTAGCTCTCCGGGCTGGGCCGCAAGACACGCAGCGTCTGGAACGCAGGTCCACCCTCCCTGCTCTGAGCTCCCTCCTGGGGAGGGTGCCCACACTGCCAGGGAGGGAGCGGCCGGCGTCACGCAGGGGCTAGGCCACGCCTCATGTGTGAGAGAGGCCCCCTGACGTTCCAGCCGGCCAGCGCCACCGGGGAGAGAGGACCACGTGGCCGGCCCTTGCAGAATTCCCGCCCAGGGAATTAACAACAAACCAGTAAAAGGGCTTGTTTCGAGCCAAGTTTTGGAGCAGGCTGGGCAGCGAGCATGGGCTCCCCACATCCTGGATCTCACTGAAGCACACACAGGCAGCCCCCCGCCACGGCTCGGGCCACTGGGCACCTCCTGGCATTTCTCAGGCGTGTCCTGCGTTATCCTGCCAAATTACAATGACGTCCAAAAACAGCAGGTGTGATGGCCGTTGATGGAATGATACTGAAAACCTGACTGTGTCCGGGAGACCCAGGGAGGGGGGCAGATCCTCCTGACGAGTGCAAGGCACACCGCACAGGCGCTGGTGGGGAGGGGTCGGGCGCACCCCGAGCCACGCCGACATTCACCATGGAAGGTGCTGGGTGCGGCATGACATGGGACGGGCCCCCATCAGTGTCACTCAGTCAGATCCCCGGACTCACACTCCTTCGTGTGGGAGGAGCCCGCGCCCCGTGAGGCCCAGCCCGCTAGGTCAGGCCCACGGGGATGATCTCACAGCTCCCGAGGGGGTCCTTCGTCACGTCTGCACAGTCCCCTCCCAAACCGCCGGCTGGCGTTTGGATACTAGAGAAAAGGTGTGTCTTGGGGCGGGGGGGGGGGGGGGGGGGGGGGGGGGGGGGGCTCAGGGCCGGCCTGTGGCCCTGCTTGCTCCCCAGGTAATGCCAAGAGCGGTGGGATTATGACCTGCAGGAAGGTCAAGGTCATGAGTCCTGGTCACTGGTGCACTAGAGCCATGAGCCTTTGGGGTCCTGAAGGGGCGAGAACAGGTTGGGGAGATGGGGGGAGCCGGCAGAGGGCCTGCAGCCTCCTGGCTAAGCATCTCGCTGCCGGGCACCACGACCCCTGTGCTGTCGAGGGGCTCTCCGTCCTCTGAAGGACACCCTGCTCCTCCCGCTGGGAGCAGAGCTTCCCCCAGTGACCAAGGCGCCACATGAAGCAAACCTGCTTTACTGCTAACTCGTCCCCACAGAGACCCCCGTCCTGCTGATAACCTTCGGTTCCCGCGGGGACCCCTGAACTCCAGGGCCACACATCAGGGACCACACATCAGGGCCACGCACCAGGGCCACACGTCAGGGACGACGTGTCAGGGCCACACATCAGAGCCACGTATCAGGGACCACATATCAGGGCCCAGCTGGAGGAGTGGCTTCCAGCCCAGGGGACGGGCAGGTGAGCCAGGGAAGGGCCAGGGCAGCCCTGCGGGTGCGGGGCTGGTGTGGGGGCTCATGAGGAGAGAGGACCGTCCGCGTGTAGGGCCGTGCGCCGGAGAAGGGGAGGCCCCGATTGACAGCACAGGGACCCCATGGCAGGTTGTCTTGTCCACTGGGGGCCCCCCCATGCAGCCATGAGGGCGGCTGCACAGGTGCAATCATACCCTTAGCACCCACGATGCACGAGCTCTGTCCAGCGGCTGAGGTCGCGCACCACGGCCAGCCAGCCAGGACAGCAGGTCGTCCCACAGGGTGGAGGCAAACTGGGACCTGGGGGGAGTGTGGCAGCCACGCAGGGTCTGGGGATATGCAGGGGGACCCCCCAGGATAGGTGCTGGGGCTGAGTCGGCCGCTTGTCCATGTCGGCTGTGCTCTGGGGCCTTCTCTGCAGAAGCTAGGTGTGCTTGGCTAGGGAGGTCCCCGGCCCCTGGACGCTGCAAGAAGGAGGTCAGCTGTGCCCTATTTCTGCATCACCTGCCCCAGGAGCGTTCTGGAGTCTGCAGGCAGGAGCACTTGGGCTGCGTCGCTCTCAGGACCCTGAGCTGCCTCCCCCAGGCACCGCACAACATCTCCCGACCTTCGGGGAAATCCAAAGCAGGCCATGTTCTAGGCCTTGTCCCTGGTTCCCCGCGCCTGGACCAGGCCCACATAGTCACAGGAAACCAAGGGGTGCTCACAACCTGGCGCACAGACCCTCCCTCCTGCCCACCCGGCGCTCACCAGACAGATATGCAAAGCGCTTCTTCAGCTGGTCCTGGATGTCTGCGGCGCAGAGTGGGGTGATGTCCCGGTGCATGATTTCATCTGCAGGGAGAGCAGACAGACACTACTGTCATTCGGTGGAAACCGCCTTACGCAGCCGCACACATCCACGAACACCGAAGGGGACCAGCGGTCACGTGCTCGGAAAAAGGGATTCCAGTTTCCAATGAGCAGAAACCTTTGTTTCTCAGCGCACAGGAAGCTGTGTGCCGGGTGGTTCATCAATATTTAAGATGTGGTGTGTGTCAGAGGCACAGTGAGGAGGCGGGCAGGTGGGAGGAGGGATGGACGTGCAGGCAGAAGGGCACAGGGACTTGAGGGTGGGAGTGAGGACAAGCCGCCAGCGAGCAGCACCCAGTGGGCACACAGCCTCCACCCCTGCTCTGGAAGTGGTCTGGGCGCCCTCAGGGCCAGTGCAGCCCGAGCAGACACCTGCAGGTCAGCGAGGAGACCTGGCCGCTGCTGCAGGTCTACACCCTCTATACACGCACGTGGGAACGTGCAGAGCTCTGTCCCATGCACGGGCCCCCTGCCTGCCTGACGCAGACACAGAGGAAGGGATGCCCAGCTGGGTCCCTGAGCCAGACGCCGGCGGGTAAGGGGACTCAGCCTGCAGTTGGCAAGTCCTAGATCAGGGGCCTGGGGTGGGGCTGTCGCGTGTCTCTGCAGAGCGCGTGGAGCTGGGGCGCCCGCCCTTGCTCTGGTGTGTGACAGCCTCGCTAGCGATCACGTGACCCTAGCTGAACGGCAGAATTTGCCTTCTGGGACATTAACACCATTTCTCCAAGGAGACTCAGGACCCATGCTGATGCTTCACAGATCCTGCCACACCCAGTTTAAGACCCAGGCCGTGAACAGCTTGGAGATCTGGGTCCAAGCTCTTCCACCCGGAAAATCCCTATGGCGGCAACAAGACGCTCCCTGCACGGACCAGCCTGGAAGCCTGCTCTTCTGGTCTTGCAAACAAGCCAGGGTAAACGGCGACACACTGGGCACATGGGCGGGTCCCCCGTGGAGCCGCCACCCACCCCAAGCCCGCCCAGACCCACAGGGCGGCGGCGGTGGAGGCTGGGGTCAGGAGGTGACAGCAGTCAGTGCTCATCACACTCAGAACGCGGGACCTGACAGGGAGGCCGCCACCCATGGGCAATGAGGCATCTCTGCAGCAGCTCTCCTCCGTGCCAGGAAAACAGGGCTGAGAACAACTGATCTGAGAGTGTGGAGCGTGTTTCTAAATTCCAGACGATGTCCACACACGCTCGTTTGCAGCTCGCAGCCTGGATGGGGGGCAGGGGGCGACGTTCAGATTCTCCTCCCCTCGGAAGGAGGGAGTACGTGCACGGTTAATACTGCACCTGTGCCCCGGATCCTCGCATTCAGCCTCTGTAAGCCCGGAGACGCACGCCGTGGAGCACAGACCATGGGGGAGGGGCAAGGCCTCTGGAGTCTGGAGACGTGTCGGGGCGGGTGAAAGTTGCAGACACTGAGCGGGCAAGTCCCTTAGCGGGCATCACTGGCACCTCAGGACTCCCACCAGACTCCACCAGCCCACAAGGAAAGACGACTATGGGTGTCCAGGCCTCTGACGGTGGACACTGCACGGACATCCTCCGGCTGCGTCCGCCTGGCAGAGCCTTCTGGGCAACACCTCCTCCCCAAGCTCCCAGAGTCCTGAGCTCAGTCCTGCATGAGCAGTCTGCTCTGTGCCCAGCCCGCCTGATGGCACGGGGCTTTCCCACGTGCTAGGGACAGGCCTACTATTACCAACCATTCCCGTGCTGTCTGACAGAGGGGAGGCCCCACTGGCCGGATCGCTGTCAACATGAATTTGGTTCCTTGGGAGAGACATCTCTGGGCCTCGTCAACCACCCTCCTCCACAGGTGCTGGCCACTCCCGTGTCCCCAGAGCTCCTCCAATGGGTGGACCAGGTCCCTCAGGCCTCAGGGCCTTTGCATGAGCTGCTCCCTGTAATGTGTCTCCCATGTCTGCCGGCCGGCCCAATCTTACTCCATTCTTGGCCCAGAGGTCATGTCTTCAGGGAGGCCTTTCTCCACCTCCTGGCCTGAGCTGGGCCTCACAGTGCCCTGCACGCCTGCCGGAGCGTCTGCCGGCCACTACGAAAGCCCAGGGCCCGGCCCAGCACCCGTTGCGATAGGAGCTCAAAGAACTTGCGCTGAACAGAGGAAGCAAGGGGCATGTGACACGGTGACTTCCCACAGCAGCATCTGGAATCCAGCTAGTTTGGCAAAGTTCTTCCTGACATGCACACAGGCTGGTGCAGGATTTCTGGAGCCCGTGGACTTCTGACTGTGGGGGCATGTCAGCTTGCAGCCTCGCTGTGGATCCCACACTCGCAAGGTTTCTGGGGCAGAACGCATTCTAATACTGTCTTAGGTCAAAGGCCCCTTTTTAGGTGTGAACAATAGTGTCACTCTGTGCACAGCCCAAGCTGGAAACAGCACACAGGTGGGTCCACAGGCATGGACTCCATCTAGAGGTCCTTCCGGCTTATGTGGTCACTGCCCACTTCTCATAAAGCTGGAAATAAGTAAGGACCATGGCACGAGGAGCTTGTCGCTGTCACCTGCTTGCTTCTGCCCCGTGGGATCTGGACCTGCGGGTGCAGTGGGCAGTTCTTCCATGTGGGCCAGGCCCACATTGTGCGGCAGAGGACACGGTGGACCGCTGGCTCAGCAGGAAATGGAGGAACCCTCGGGGGGACGGGCAGGCCTCCCCGGTGCTCCAGGGTCAGAAGTCTGGACAGGAAGGGGGTCGCCCCACCCGCGGGCCCAATAAGAGGGTCAGGCGAGGCCCCGCGCCTTCACAGAACGGCTCTGTGTGAGCACAATGCCGCATAGATAACTCCCTGTTTCCAGCATTCCTGTCTTAGCCAGACGTGAAAGGAGACCCCCGGGCAAGGAGCAAGAATCACGTCCGGGAGGTCAATGAGGGTCTGGTCTGGTCGCAGAGAGGGCAGCGCTTCCCATCGGGGCCCCGCAGGGGCAGGGCTGGGGGCCCAGCACAGGGCAGGAGACACATGGCCCACTCACCCCTTCGGCGTGAACCACCCCTCGCCTCACAGTTTAGCCACCCTGGGACCCGGCTCAGCTCCAGACTAGTCTGCCACCATCTAGGAGCCCTTTGGGACCATAGTGGCCCCCGGGTGCAGATGAAGACACGCAGCCCCGAGGCCCACGCTGCTCCTCAGAGCTCCAGGCTCTGCATCTCCCAAGGCTGCACACCCTTGCCTGGCGGGTCTGCAGCTCAGGCCTGCGTGGGAACCACCTGGAGGCCTCGGTAAGGTGCGCACAGAATGGGTGCCCTGCATCTCCTACCCTGCCTGCCCCACGCTGGCTGCAGTCCCTGCGTGGACTGCAGTCCCAGCATGAGCTGTGCCTCCAGGTGACGCGGTGCTGAGGTCACACCCGTGTCCAGTCGGACAGACGGCAAGTCCGAGGCTGTGCTGTCCATGGCACACTCAGGGACGCCAGGAGGGTGTGTATCCGCCATCAAGCAGACGTTTGCCCGTTCATCAACACCCGTCTTATGAAGGGTGTCAGCCAGGTGGGCCGCGGGATGCACTGTGCACACCCACAGCAGGCCAGGACCCGCAGGGCGTCCCCACTCACACCTATACCTGGGCTTGCGGATACTCACAGCACACACTCCATGGGCTCTGAGTAAGACACAGCTTGGTACAAAGTAGCTTTTGGAACACTATCCCATAGGAAGGTAGTGGTATCAGCCCGGCCCCAGGGACTGCCTGAAGCCAGGCTTTGGCGGAAGCCCTGCTTAGCAGCCCCACCCCTCTGTCTTTGCCACAGGCAGACAACCAAGCCCCGGTGACCCTCAGAGTCCTCCTCAACACAGGCTCCAGGCCACTTGGGCAAGCACGTGGAGAGGGCACAGGGGCCCAGGCCGGTGCGGGGCCCCCGAGTGTAGGCAGTGCTCACGACCTGCCTCCCAGCCAGCCCCGAGCGTTTCTCCAGCTCGGCTCCCGTGGTGGGGCCACTGGGGTCGGAGCCCCCGAAGGTCTCTGTGTGCAGGCTCCACAGTTGAGTGGACCCCGGGTTCCGGGGGCCGGCGGGGCGGCCAGGAGCTGCTCCAGTAACCGGCGGGGACGTGCCCAGCTTGTCCTCGCTAAAACGAAGACACGACTTTCGGGGAAGTCCGACATGAGGCCCGGCTGGGCCAACGGAGCAGAGAAGAAAAAACCTCCCCCAAACCCGCCCAGGCCTCAAATCAGTCAAAAAGGCAAGCGTCTCTTGAACGTCTATGGCCGGTCGGCGCAGCGGTGGTACCAGAGAAGTGTAGGAATCTGCTAAACTCAGGCTGGTGAGAGCAGCAGTGGGACTCTTCAGTCGATGCACGAGAAAACCCATCGTAGAGACGCCCGTGGTGGTGTCACTGTTACCAGGGACTCTTCACGTATCCGTGCATCTGTCACAACCACCCGGCAGGCAGGAGCATTATATTCCGTCTGCTGGACAAGCAGCCCAAGGCACAAAGATGTCCAGAGACTTGCCAGAGACCACACAGCAGGGACCAAGGAGATGCTAGGAGCAGCACCTCAAAGGGAGGGACAGGGTACTGTCCATCTGAGGCTTGTCATGCGGGTGACTTTCAGGGACGGGTTCGTAAGTGCAGATGCTCCTTGGGGCCTGAAGGGCTCAACGGAGCAGAAGCAGGAGAAGCTGGACCTCTTGGTGAGCTTGGGCCCCGGCGACAGCGGACGGCAGGGTCCTGACCATCACGTGCTTCGGTGGGTCCCTGACCCTCGTGTTGGTGGTCAAATAAATGACATTCAGCCGATCCCAGAGGCACTGAAAATCACCCCATAGTTCTGTATTTGTTTTTCTTTGTCAGAGCCTGAGTAGCGTTCTGACTCGAGGTCGTAAATGCTGTCCCTGCTGCAGGTGGAGGAGACCGCGGGGTGGGTGGGGATCGGGCTCCTAAGCCCACAGTCAGGCCGCGGCCCTGGAGGCCCGGCTCAGGGAGCAGCCACTAAGCACTTTTTAACCCGAATTCGACTGCACACTGT